TGATAAAACACGGGCGGCTGCGTGGCATGCCCCCGAGGAAAGCAATAGAGGGATGTGGAATGAGAGTCAAACTCTGTCTGCACCTAAAGGGCAACATGACAACTCCCCCACAAACTCCTGCAGCTGTTGTTTTAATGGCTTATTTATGGTGTTACAGAGCCAGTCATGTTTACTCTGTCCCACAGTTAGTTATTATACACAGGGACTCAGTGAATGAATTCTTCCCAGTGAAGAACAAACTTCCTTGCTATAATGGGGTAGTAGTTTTGCCTACTACCCCGTTACTGAAACCAATCATTATTTTCTGCGACTGCTGAAATTATTTAGGAATCCCCTGTCCCTGGGCAGATAGACCCGAAGTTTTCAGCTGACCTTCACAGCTTCTGCCATTAGGGCAGTAAATCTCCCTTGAGGGCAGACAGCACTTGGGTAATTTTAGAGAGGGCAAAGGAGCAGAATTATAGGTTGTCTGGGAAGGGTTGAAAGATTAGACCTCTAGAGGGAAAAACTGAAATGAATCATCTCAAAGGGCAACTACTACTTAGGGTCAAAGTTTAAATGTCTGTAACCAGTGTTTTAGTTTGACTTGCTGCTGGGATAATTAATGCTCTCAGTTCTTGGAATAATTGAAAATAAAGCATTACATTTAGAAGAGCTGAATTCATTTCAGAAAACAAAAAGGACGTTCATTAAGAAAAAGAAACCTACAGTCACTGAGCACATGAATACATGAAGACAAATACTAATGACTTACTTTTCTGAAATGAGTAATTTCCTTTATTTTAAACTATAAAAGGATATGATGGATTTCTTTAGAACAAGAATGGTGGAATATTAGGGTAGGTCCTCCACTTCTTTTCTTTAAATGCTTCTCTCTTCATGTAACTTAATTTGTATACATGTTAAAGCTTTGATTTCAAGAGCCACAGAAGATCTTGGAAGGAATCAGAGGCTTCTGATCCTACTATCTAGGGATCGGGTTGCAGACCCTGAGCCTGAGGCAACATATCTCGAATGTTTGTCATGCGCTGTCTACTGCACACATGGCTTAACCAACAAGGTAGTGCCTTTTTTTTTTTTAAATAGTCACTTGCATTCATCAATGCAGTGGGTTTTTTTTTGTTTTTGTTTTTTGGCTGTGCGGCATTCGGGGTCTCAGGGATCTGACCAGGGATCGAACCTGTGCCCCTTGCATTGGAAGTGCAGAGTCTTAACCGCTGGACCACCAGGGACGCCCCAAGGTAGTGCCTTAAAGTCACCTTTGTCCTTAGCAGCAAGTAGCCTAGCACTGCATGTTTAATAATCTAGATAGATTTTAAATATTTCTAGTTTTTATAAAATTAATACAATGCCTGATAATTGGAGAGCAAGAATATAAAATATTTTGCTGTATCAGGAAAAAACCCTTAAATCCTAGTCTTATCTATTATAGTCTGATTGAGTTAATTAGTCCCAACATATACCGGGAAATAGATTTAACATTAATGTTTGGGAATGGGAAACTTTAAAAATTCAAGTTTTCCAGATATTCCTAATTCTCTAAGTATTTGTAGTCAATTTGATAACGTATAAATAAAAAGTGTGAAGTAGAAATCCACGACATAGGAAGGCATTTGTAAGTCACAAAGAGACTTGCAAACATTATTTTCAGATGTTGGCTGAGAATCAGTTTAACTGAACAGTGAGCGTCTTTGTGGGTGACAGACTAACCCCAGACGCCTCCGATGACAAGGATGTGCCACTGCACCTGGGACAGTTGGCTCTCTCCGTTCTCTGATTTGGGGCAAGTAATTCTTCAACTCTGCCTCAGTTTCCGCATTGTCCAACTTCTCAGAATAGTTATGCCTTTCAAATGTCCTACGGGAAAGTGCAGTGAAAATGAAACCTCTCATTTTTATGGCTGCTATTGCTTCTTCTAAACCAGATTAGCAGAGGGAATGAGTGGCTTTGGTCATGGTCAAGCTAGCTGCCTCTGGCTATGTCAACCTTGGCTTCTAATGAGATCCCTCTGGACCCCAAGAAGGAGCCTGGATGTCTGGTCTGTCACTATCAAGACCTGGCAGATGGAATCAGAAGCAATTATGCAGATAAAGCTAAACTCCTCCTCTGCAAAAAAACCCCAACAAACAAAAACACCCTTCATTCCTGGCAGCTAATTTCATCAGATATCTGGAGAGGAAATATTACGAAAAATTTTTTTTCTCTATTATTGCTATGTCACCTCAGTTCTCTGCTTTTCTTATTTTTACACTTTTCATGAAAATAAGCTCTTGCATCTCCATCTTCTAGGGCTAGTAGCCAAAGTAGAGTTTTATGGATGCCACAGAGCAGAGCTGTCTATTTCCTTGTGTGAAGACCCATCTCTGGGGAAAGGCTTGGCCCACACAGTGACCCAAACCAGCTTTAATGAAATAGCCAGACGATGACAATGATCTCAGTCCTTCCACAGGCTTAAATCATTGCTTGATTGTGTCCAGCTGGCAGTAGTAAAATTTTGTTGACTGGGGCTCCACGTGTGTTTCTTTTTTTTCTTCCACGGGTGTTTCTTGATCCATCCTTAACCTTTCTTCATCTTGTTATTTTAATAACCTTCCAAAGAGCGTTGTACCTTCCACGAATCTAACAGATCTCCAGCTCTGAGTGACTTGATCAGCTTGTAGGTTATGTTTGTGTGCAGCTTGCAGAGTTCAGCTCTCTATGCTCATTAGAGCTAACTGTACACAGACACCTTCTGTGTGTGGTGCCTGAAGCCCCACGCCAGGCCTGGCATGGTATTTACATCCTTTGATAACGTGATTATCGAGGATTAAGAAGTATAAGTAAAATGACAGTCCATGACAATCAGTTCATCAACAACACTGAAGGAAGCGTGCTTTCTTAAAGGCATAGAACTGTGTGCCAAGCACCTGATGCTTAGAGATTTGCTGGAATGGATAAACCCCCTCTCTTCCCAGAGCGGCGGGTAATGTCATTTGGCTGAAAGTCGGTCTTTAATTATGGTGAGACTGCTTAGTGCACCCTGATGGTCTTACTGCTTGCTCTTTCCCATTAATTCTGAAGTTGTAACCCAAGTCCAGAGCTGTTTTGGTGTGACCCTGAGGTTACTTGAGTTTCGCATTTGTTTAAGTAAATAATTGTGATCAGTAATTTCCCTCTGGAACCCTTGGAGTATGGCAATTACATGAAATCTGCTTGGCTCAGTCATGCATGCCCAGAGTTAGAAATAAGTGCATAAGGCATTTGGAATGATAATTCCCAAGATATGCCTGAGCCCCTCAATAGCTCTGTGTTCCCTCTCTGGCTCATCAGTATTCCTATTGTCAGTTTTAATTGCACAAGCTCAAGGAGATAAGGAAAATGGAGCGTATATTCTTTTAAGCCACAGAGAAGAGATGGTTTCTATTCTCTACCACTAAACTGAAACCATATATTTGCTCCAAGTATAAAAGCTAACGCTTGGGGCAATATTTTCTTGTTTGACTTCTTTTTTTTTGGCTGAAAAAGTATATTGATATTTCTAAAGTAAACTGTGCTGTAACTAGCGAGGAGACAGGCTGGGTTGGGAAAATGAATTAAATAAAGTGTATGTCTGAGTACTCATTTAGAAGAGTATTCACAGTCTCAACAGCTCTTAAAGGAAGGCAGTACATAATCAATAATGATGTACTGTTTGGTTTTCTAAAAACCAAAACTTCTGGGTAGCAAATGCAGAGTTCTCTGAGAAATCAATGGACGTTAATTTCACAGAACCACAAGTCACATTTATAACAAGTGGAGAGAAATAAAAATCCTGACACATCAACTTCATAAAAATTAGGTAAGTATTTAATTAGGCAGCCTATTTTGCAGCCTTGTAGAAATTCTAGAAGGTCTCGTGTCCTAGAATACAAATAGTACTACAGAGTTTTATGATGACTAAACCACAAACTGATGTTATAACCTCAAATAATTTAAGAAATGACAAAACATGATAAAGTGGATCAAATAGGCAATAAAATAGAAAGGCTCCAAATCTGCTAAAAATAAAACTGTCAAATTTCACCATGCAACTTCATAACTATTAGACACTGAGCAAATCCCTTAATATCCCTGAGCTTCAGTTCCTTCATCTATGAAACAGAGATTCTCATACTTTACTCAGGTCAGAGGGTTACTGTGGAGACAAATGAAATATTTATGACAGTGTATTTAAAAACCATAATGCGCAGTACAAATGGTATTCTAACAATATTTAGCATCACATGGCAAAAGTTCTTTAAGGATTGTAACCTTTGCTATTACTGTAAAGAGCTCACTAGCACGCTGGTCATGGTCACATTTTTAATTTTCTTCATAGATATTTATGCCTATAATTTGGATCAATGGTCTACAGTAGGATATTAGCGACTAAAGATCTAAATAGCCTAGCTTCTCATAAATGTGGATAACAGAAAGAGTTAATTCAATAAGCTGTCCTACACATATATTCTTTCTGAAAATGAATCAAAATGGAAAACTATTAAAATAGCCAATGTGGCTAGAACTCAAAGAGGCACAATAGAAAGATCAGTGCATAGAGAAGGTAGTAAAGAGGATAATGATGCCTTTCTTGCTCTGTCAACTTGCTGTGTGATATCTTCTAAATCCCTTCTGATTCCCAGCTGCCTGTGAAGCTTGATGAAGACAAGGATAACAGCTATGAAGTACTCTTTAGGAAAAATTTATTAGAGAGGGGGCGAAGGGGAAAAAGTCAGCCAGGATGGGTTCCTGTAAAGTTGAGCCTTGGCCTCACGACTACTGCCCTTGGTGGAGGGGTTAGGGAGGCCTGAGAAGGGGCAGCTGTGAGCCCTTAGCGGGTGACATTGCCAGTGGCCTGGGTGACGAGCACTAGCCAGCAAAGGGCTCCTAGGTGACACACCAAACAGCATCTACCACAACTGCCATACACTTTCTTACAAAAAGCTATTCTCTAACAGAAGTCAGGTAAATGTGTATTACAAACAAATTCTCTTGAAAGTTACTTTCTGCTCTTTCCGTCTCATCTTAGTCAAGCCACTTTGGACTTTGCCTTAGAACCTGGTAAGTGGGCTTATCTTCTCACACATATCCAGCCCATGGCCGTTTCAGTAACAATACCATCTTGCCGTACAGGGTCTACCCTGCAAGGAAAATGTGAAGTTGATTAAATGGCTTTGACAACTAAGATATTGCTTCTCCTTTTTCATGTTACCTTCCCACTATCCATTTTCCGTAAGTATCCAATTTACTCTCTGATTGACTGTCTAGGGCCAGCAGGGTGAAAAGCTGTCATCAAAACTAGGTATTAAGGGGGCTTCCCTGGTGGCGCAGTGGTTGAGAGTCCGCCTGCCGATGCATGGGACGCGGGTTCGTGTCCCGGTCTGGGAGGATCCCACATGCCGCAGAGCAGCTGGGCCCGTGAGCCATGGCCGCTGAGCCTGCGTGTCCGGAGCCTGTGCTCTGCAGCGGGAGAGGCCACAGCAGTGAGAGGCCCGCGTACCGCAAAAACAAACAAACAAACCAAAAAAACCTAGGTATTAGGCATTTAATTATGTAAATTTCAGACCAAAAATATGTAACTAATAGTGAAGCAAAACTCAGAGTGCCTTTATCAAAGAGCCCTTCCCTCCCTAAAAAATTTCCAGAAATATATATTTCAGAAGCTAAATAACTTTCGTTTGGGACATGCCACACAGTTTATCTTCATCTGAGAATGTTGTAATAAACATTTTGTAGTTTTCTGATTTCTGTTTATTGCCTGCCCTCCACTTGACTGTAAATACTGCAGGTGTAGCTGTCTTTCCTGTTCACCACCGTATCACCAACACCCAACCCAGTGCCTGGTTCATCACAGCGCTGAACAATTATTTGTTGAAAAAAAATTATGACCCTTAGTCTATTGCAGCTTTAAAAATTCCTGGAGTAGTGAACCCTGTTTAAATGCATTAATTCAGTGTCTCTTAAATGAATTTATGCACAGACCTACTCTTCTCCCCCAACCCCTATCTGGAATATATTTTGAGAAATACTACCTTAAAGCAAGAAAAACAATTCAATAGAGGTTGGGATGTGACCTTGGTCTAGGTGGTGATTGTGCTGGTCATTCACCTTCTGCCCTTCCCCAAATCCGTTCTCCACATTCTTCTACGCTGACCTTACAGGCTCCATCATCTGGGCTTTAACAACCTCTGGTTTCTGGTTGGATTTGGCCAATGTGAGGCAATGCAAGAGATGAAAGGGTAGGAGGAGGGAGGAATTTCTTTCCTTCTCCCCCTGCGCCCACTGCAGTTCTGTCTGTGGCTGCATCCTTCCATGACAATTGCTTCTCCCCAGGAGAACCCCTTCCATTCTCTAAGCTCATCCAGGCTCCGGTAACACGTTCCCTTCCTCCTCCCATCTCAGTTCTCAGGGAGGTAATGACTTCCTCAGGTGCTAGCCTTGGGATCCTCAACTTTGCCTGTAAGTTTCCTTAATTATACCCCAACTTCCCTAAAGAATCCTTCTGTTATAGTCTCTCCAGATGCCACCATGCCTGCCTTCTGTTTCCTGGGGCCCCTGACTATACAGTGATGGCTTCTTCAGTCTGGAATGGACTGCCAAGGGGAAATCGAACACCTTCCTGGCAGAGTTAGAGCTTCACATTGTGGTTTTGTTATTTTGATTGAAGTTTTACGAATTCCCAGAATTTCATCCATATCCGTACAGGTTAGCACAAAAATAAACCCCAGAACCAAAGTAAAGTACTCTTATGAGTTATTCATCTTTCTGGTTCCCAGTTGGGAGGTGAACTATGTATTAGATGGTTTTAATCTATTCCTCACACAGATTCTGAACTTCAAAGAAAATAGGAACTTATTCCTTGGGGCCATCACTCCTCATTTCTAATATAGTTCAGGACACTGTATGCACTCATTGCACATTCATTCAACTCATGTATTCATTTAGATGATGGCCACAGCTGCTGAGAGTAGATGAAGTGGGGGCATTATCCATTAGCTTCAGACTCAAGGGTAACATTTGGCAGCACTGTGGACAAAGGGAAAGAGGGGCACATTTGTGAAAAGAAGGTACCAAATCCCCAGGTGTAATGTTTAGCATCTTTTTATGTGACATAAAGATGGGACTAATATACTCACTTTTTATTATGACAGACGGCAACAATTAGGATCTGTCTAGTGGTGGTAGAATAATGCAAGTGCTCTTTGGGTCTATGAGCATATGCTCTGTAGGTAGGGGTGATGATGTCACTGCACGAACTGTTGCTTTTCAAACTAGCTTTAACAGGTATATTCGCCTTAGAAATCAATGGACTCAGAAAATCAAATAATGTTGCAAAATAAAGTTCCCTAAGATGTGTGGAGAGAAAACTTCCCATTCTGATGAATGGGCTATAGAAACCCATGCCTTGTGGAGGTCCCCACTGGCCGTCACGAGCAGTAGGAGGAGGTTATGATTAGGGGACAACTAGTCACAGATGTGTCCCTTCAAACAAGTCCCTAAGGCTGGTCAGGTAGCAACCTGCTATTTAGCATCTCAGGAAGCCTCCAGCAGCGTTAATACAAGCACAGTCAATTACAGCTGGTCTTTTCCATCAAAGATTTTGTGAGGCGTAAATTCAATATAACCACTGTTTCTGTTTTGATCTCTTTTGCTCCTTAGCCCATTTCTTCTTGGCATAGTTTCCATCACCTTGGAGATTATTTTACAGGATAAAATGGTTGCTTTCTAGTTTTGTGGGTCCTTGATATGAGTTATGTGCTTCCCTTCTGTGGAACTGGTTTGTAGGATTTCAGGCTAAACCTGTTTGGGCAGCTAAACTTGTGATGAAAATAATAATAACCCAGTTCTCCTATTCTTGCTTATAAGTATTTATTTTAATAATCATTTGTTTGTATGCTTATCTCCTTCTCAAAGTATTAGTTCCCTGAGAGCCTGTCTCTTCAGTCTTTATGTTGTCTCAGGAGCTGACTCTTCCCAGGACGACTAAGGGTGGAAACAACCCATCCCCCCAGGGAAAGACCAACCCTGGCTTTTTATCTCCACCAGAAAAATGATATCAGAATCTACAGGTATATTCCCCAAAGTCTGAGTTACTCAGTCTTAACACCATGTGTAGGACATCAACAGTTTAGTATAATAGCTATAATAGCTTTATTTTATTCCAAGTAGGTTACCTAATATTTCTTATCCTCCCTTACATATACCAAGCACTGTGCTAGGTTAATTACCTACTCTATTAAGGAAGAAGAAGTAGATTGATGTGGCTGAGAGTATTTAAGTAGAGAAACTTCAAAATATATTAAAAACCGCCAGGGAAGGTCGAATTTCAGCAACAAGCATTTGGGGTGTATAGGTGGGATTTGACTAGTTGGGAGTGAGATACACATTTTAGGAGCTAATTCAATAGCATGAATAGCAAAGCCTGGAGTAAAGTGATATTGGAAGGTAGGAGACCAGTTGAGAGACCCTTGCAATAGGCCAGAGAAGGTATGACATCACATAACATGGGCCTCACTAGGATGAGGCCATGTGGACTGGAGAAGAATGTTCAGATATGAGCCTGTCAAAGATACGCATTAGGGAAGAGGGAGAAATCAAGGAAGACCCCAAGGTTTCCTAGCTGATGGTGGACGGGGTGGGGAGATAACAGATGACAGAGAAGGAACGGACAGTCTGGAAAGTGGAAGAAATGACCAGCTTGCTCTACCACATCCCTCTTCCTCTTCCTGAAAACCCTCATAGCTAGGAGCTTCTGAAACCTAATACCAAATTCAGTTTTTGAGGATTCAATTCACTAAGGGAGGAAGTGTTGAACCAGATTCTAAGCCTCCCTGAGCTCCTGCTTCTTGTATTCTTCATGAATCATAATATTTACTAGAAGGGGAACTGTACTTTCTAATTCCCATTCCAATTTGCTGTCCTCATGGAGAATCTTATTTTTGCAACACCATTAGACATTCTAAATTTGAAATTTCCCAACTCCCATCAGCATAAGTGATAGTTTTAATGTTTCTTAAATACAGTGTTTGGGCATTTAATTATATTATGCAAAATTAGTAAACAGCTATTTCAAGACAGGGCTGATTAAACTGAATCTGCAAGGTATGGTATTTATTAGTATTGTACTTTCAGAACCAAGTGATATAGTGTCCTAGCTCTTGAAGTTGAAAGATGAGTGGTACCTAGAAAATGATTTAACAGTGATGATGGCTGGTGTTTAATGAAATAGTTGTTGTGATGACTTCTTGTAGAACTGATTAGACCCCCGAGGGGCTGGCTGAGAGAGAGAGACACGTGTACTCTCCTTTTTTCCTTTCCATCACTCACATAGCCCCATGGATGCTCCTCACGCATTCTAGAATTTTTGCTCTTTTTCACATTGCTAGATGTCCTGTCAGCTAAAAGAGTTGCTGACCAGGGAGAATCCCAGCACTGCAGATGCTGTAGATGAAGATGGCTGTAGAAAAGGGACCGAGGGATTGTGGAGGGAAGATGATGGATGGAAATGTTGAAAATAAAATACATCTTTATGCTGGTACTTCAGCTAAAGCCGTGGTGTCTTTTTAGCGTTCACCCTTCTGTCATGTGATAGGGTGCCTACAGAGTCCCCTGCCTACCGTGCTGCTGTTAATTTCTTCAGGTTTCTTTGTAAAAATAAGGTGTCCGTGGCAATATATTCTAAAATCTTCCTCATCCTCTGCATCCCTCTCCCTATTTGTATGCCTTTTCTTATTTTTAAGGAATTCAGAGTGAAAATATATTCGTTACTGGATGGTTTCTGGTCTATGAAATCTACCTTCATTCCAGATATTTATCTGTAACAGGATTCCACAGCCAGGCTGTTGTTTCAGAGACTGACTGGTGAGGTAGCAGTTTGAGGCCTGATTTAAGACTTTTGGTAAGATTTCACCAGACCATGTCTCAAGATCATCACCAGAGACTTTCTTTCTGTCTGTGGCCACCTGGATGTTACGTGCAAAACACTATACTAGTTTGATCATATATAAATCCCACTGGTAGCCTGCTTCAGGGAAAGTGGCTGCTCTTGGCCTATCTGCCTTTTCAGAACTCCTATGAATATCTTAAAATATGGATATCCTGCATAGAAATGTACTTTTTAGGATGTAATAGAGGATAAATT